ATGAGTCCTTCTATTACGGGGTCTTTTGCTGATTCTACTTTTTGTGTGTGATTTATTGTGCCTGATCCAGTTGGAGGACCTCTTTCCATTATTCTGTCGGCTATACGCGCTAAATGAGATAATGAGGTTTCAGGATCTTGTGCATCCAAACAGTGTTGGACGTAGCATGGGAGAGCTTGTATCCATCCTTGTTTTAGGACTGCTTCACCCACTGTGTTATCACCCACTAAGACTTGGAGGTGACGTAAAAACTGTGACGGCGACCGATCACCTAGTGTTTCACCTTGAAAAAGTCTTTGGATTCTTTGACTATCTGATAATGATAAACGGTTCATTATCTCTCGTCTTAAGATGGTGTATGGTTGTGGTGATGGTGGATCTAAAATCAAGTCACGGACTTCTTTGGCGACTGAAGGAGGAAGGATAGAACACAAGTCTCTATAGCGAATCCCTTCAGATTTGATATTGTGTCTCGTGAAATAATGCTCTAGTTGAGCAAACCACAACTCAGGATCACTACGATCAAATTCTGGAAGTCGGGATTTCGTAGTCATAACAGTGTCTATCTCCACTGGTGACAAATCCTCCAGATTATGGGTTTCTATTGAGTCTGACATGAGGTATGTGACAAATATAGCAATAAAGTTAGCACAAAAAGTGGTTACTATAACACGAATAACTTAAGATAATACGGAATAAACTAGTTATATACTCAAATTAGTTTACGGATAATCAGGTCTACTTTTACGATTAAGTAAAAAAAATGTTAATAACAGAAATGAGGTTAAATTTGTGTTCAAAAAGGGCTCACCAATTTCGTGCCTTAAGTAACCCTCGTGCTATTGATAGAAGAAACCAGACAAGTAGTGAATAGGTCTTTATTTCGATCTTAGCGCGGTGACAGTGGAGCATGGGATTATCTGTTCAGACAAACAAAGGCTCTCAACATTCAATATAAGATAATAGGGAATATAACGCTTATACAAAATAAGGAAGTGAATGAATACTTGAACAATACTGTTTTGACATATGCTTGGTTGTTTGGGGTCAACTCTTAACCAACCAACCTAAGCTGTTACAGATACAACCTAGAGGTACTTGGGATCAGTGAAACACATTGGACGCAAGTTGGACAACAACTACTAACTTCAGGAGAGCTCCTGTTATACTCCAGCCATGAAGATGAATATGCACCACATACACAAGGAGTTGCATTGATGCTGTCCAAACAAGCACAAAATACACTTATAGAATGGGAATCTCATGGACCAAGAATCATCAAATCCTCCTTCAAAACAAAGAAAGAGGGCATTTCAATTAACATCATCCAATGCTATGAGCCTACCAACGATTACAATGAAGACGCTAAAGATCAATTCTACAATAGGCTGCAGTCAATCATCGAGAAGTGCCCAACAAAGGACCTGACGATTCTGATGGGAGATTTCAATGCCAAGGTTGGAACGGACAACACTGGATCTGAAGACATCATGGGACGACACGGACTGGGAGAAAGGAACGAAAATGGTGAGAGATTCGCAAATCTATGTGCCTTCTTTAAACTGGTCATAGACGGCACAATATTCCCACATAAACGCATACACAAAACCACATGGACTTCACCGAATACACCACAAAAAATCAAATCGACTATATTTGCATCAACAAAAAGTTCAGGAGGACGATGGAAGACGTGAAAACCAAGAGAGGAGCTGATACAGCATCAGACCATCACTTGCTGGTCGCCAAGATGAAATTGAAACTCAAGAAGCACTGGACAACGGGGCGGACAATATCACAAAAGTTCAATACGGCTTTTCTTCAGGATACTGACAAACTCAACAAATTCAAAGTAGTCCTCAGCAATAAGTTCCAGACCTTTCATTATCTACTCAATGGAGAAGAAACTACTATGGAGAGCAACTGGAAGGGGATCAAAGAGGCAATCACTTCAACATGTCATGAGGTCCTGGGTCACAAGAAGCACCATCACAAGGAATGGATCACTGTTGATACACTGGATAAGATTCAAGAAAGGAAGAACAAGAAAGCAGCAATCAATACCAGTCGAACAAGAGCAGAAAAAGCCAAGGCACAAGCTGAACACACAGAAGTAAACAAACAAGTGAAGAGGAGCATCAGAACCGACAAACGTAAATATGTGGAAGATTTAGCAACGACTGCGGAAAAGGCTGCAAGAGAAGAAAACATGAGACAACTGTAGGACATAACAAAGAAACTCTCAGAAAATCGCCGCAAACCAGAACGACCAATGAAAAGCAAGTAAGGCAAGGTAATCACCAACATTGAAGAGCAACGAAACAGGTGGGTAGAACACTTCAAAGAACTCTTGAATCGACCAGCTCCACTGAACCCACCCAACATCGAAGCAGCACCCACGGACCTCCCAATCAATGTTGGCCCACCAACAATTGAAGAAATCAGCATGGCCATCAGGCAAATCAAGAGTGGCAAAGCAGCAGGACCAGACAACATTCCAGCAGAGGCACTAAAAGCAGACGTAGCGGCAACTGCAAGGATATTCCACATTCTCTTCAATAAGATTTGGCATGAGGAACAAGTACCAAAATACTGGAAAGAAGGACTTCTGGTCAAAATACCGAAGAAAGGTGACCTCAGCAAGTGTGATAACTACAGGGGCATCACTCTTCTCTCAGTACCGTGAAAAGTCTTCAACAGGGTATTGTTAAACAGGATGAAGGACTGCGTAGACGCCCAACTTCGTGACCAACAGGCAGGATTCCGTAAGGATAGATCGTGTACAGACCAAATCACAACTCTACGGATCATTGTGGAACAATCAATTGAATGGAATTCACCACTCTACATCAACTTCATTGACTACGAAAAGGCATTTGATAGCGTGGACAGAACAACACTATGGAAACTTCTTCGACACTACGGCGTGCCTCAGAAGATAGTCAATATCATACGGAATTTCTATGATGGATTAAACTGCAAAATCGTGCATGGAGGACAGTTGACAAAGTCGTTCGAAGTGAAGACCGGTGTCAGGCAAGGGTGCTTACTCTCACCCTTTCTCTTTCTCCTGGTGATCGACTGGATCATGAAGACGTCAACGTCTGAAGGGAAGCGCGAGATACAATGGACATCTAGGATGCAGCTGGACGATCTGGCCCTTCTATCCGAAACGCAACAACAAATGCAGAAGACGACCAGTGTAGCAGCAGCCTCAGCAGCAGTAGGTCTCAATATACACAAAGGGAAAAGCAGGATTCTCTGATACAACACAGCATGCACTAATCCAATCAAAATTGATGGAGACGATTTGGAAAATGTGAAAACCTTTACATATTTGGGTAGCATCATTGATGAACAGGGTGGATGTGATGCAGATGTGGAGGCACGGATCGGAAAATCAAGAGCAGCATATTTACAACTGAAGAACATCTGGAACTCAAAGCAACTGTCAACCAACACCAAGGTCAGGATTTTCAATACAAATGTCAAGACAGATCTACTGTATGGGGCAGAAACCTGGAGAACTACGAAAGCCATCATCCAGAAAATACAGGTGTTTCTTAACAGTTGTCTACGCAAAATACCTCAGATCCGTTGGCCGGACACTATTAGCAACAACCTACTGTGGGAGAGAACAAACCAGATCTCAGCAGAGGAAGAAATTAAGAAGAAGCGCTGGAAGTGGACAGGACACACATTGAGGAAAGCACCCAACTGCGTCACAAGACAAGCCCTCACATGGAATCCTCAAGGCCAAAGGAAAAGAGGAAGACCGAAGAACACACTACGCCGGGAAATGGAGATAGACATGAGGAAAATGAACAAGAATTGGATGGAACTAGAAAAGAAGGCCCAGGATGGAGTGGGTTGGAGAATGCTGGTCTGCGGCCTATGTTCCATTGGGAGTAACAGGCGTAAGTATGGTGACATTGAGGCCGAAAGATGAATTACCTAAAATGAACACCTCATTTCCTGTTTATCAGTTCGACTGCTCCTGAGGAGCGAGTTATATTGTTCGAAGTTCTAGGAATTTACATTTCCGCGCTCCAAAACACTTCCTAGCGTGACTAAGCAAATGTCTGGTGAAGAAAGTGAGTAGCTCGATACTGGCCCATTTAGTGCAAACTGGTCATAGTGCCAGCATGAAGCAATCCTTTCCATTTATTTATCGGGTTAGTAATTTTTGTCAAAGCCTGTCAGACTGAAAGTTCTTCGAACGACCATTTATAGCCAAATGTAATTGTCTATGTTGTCTTTAATAATAAATCTTTGTATTATTATTACTATTGGTTAAGCATCATTATTAATCTCCCCAATAAATGATTTATTTACTCTGCATCCATCCAACCTATTATGTCTTCATAATTTTGTTTTACACAACAGTCTCCAACTAAACATTTTATTGAGTTGTAATTGCATTATTATTTCTCTCACCCTGTCTAACCTATAGTTATTCTGGTCATGGATCCTAAAATTTCATATAAGCTGATCCGAGTTAACATTCCATATAAGTCATATCAACATTAACAACTTTATTTTATTTGACAATCCCAAGTTTAAACGATGCACTTTGCCCTAAACCTGGCCACACTTCGGATTATTAATTTGGATATATAATTGTAGAACGTGAAGAGAATTTATCATAAAAAATATTCTTTGTTCAAATATTAGTTTTTAATATGACACGGATCCTTAAACAACTAAGATTCCGAATTGATGTTAAATATATTTCTCCTTGTAGGGAACCTTAATGTACAAAAGGTTCTTAGCCAAATATTTACCTGTAATTTTAATTCTCCTTACGAAAAAATGTCACATGATAAAATGCCTAGTATACAGATTTTAGGATTCGAAGTTAATGTTCATTGAGGTAAAAAAAAAGAGTAGAACATATCTGCTTAAAAATTCATGAATTTTTAACTTATTTTAAAACTTTATATTATTTATTTATTTCAAAACTGGAATAGCATCAGAGGGAAAGGATTTTATACAAAGATTTAGATATCGTCATCACTAGGAGGCAATTCACCTTCTTCCATACTTTCATTATCTTCGGGTGATTTTTCACACGGACTTGCACACGTTGTATCCATTGTAATTACAGGAGAAGCAGGTTGTGAAATTTCACCTTCCAAAATAACTGGTTCTTGAGAACTGTGAATATCTAAAGGGGAAGGACAATCGGACTCGACTGATTTCGCTGGATTGCTTGGAAGTTCGTATACAATGTCTGATTGTTCATATTTTCTTACACGACGAGAATTCCTGCGAGCTCTACATAAAACAATAATTCGTCACTCACAGGAAGCGAACACGTGTATTTACTCTTTAAGTTTATAAGTAAATACAGAATTACACATTAACCCAAAAAGACAACTGAATATCATCATCTAAAAGGATGAAATTCAAGGATTTTTTAATGTTAAGTCAGTCGAAATCCTCAGGCTATCAACCTATCGTGAAAACTAAAATATAGTGTACGTGAAACGGTAATATTTCCCTAGGTCAATTAAATAAAGGATTAATAAGAATTTTGAACATAAAAAGCCCATAAGACAAAAAATATTCCTATGGTAGTTGTTTTTGAGTGAAATGTTTAAAACATGAAGTGTGTCTACATGATATGGCAACTAACTTGCTGTATGGGTAGTTAATTAAACCATTAACGAATATAGAACAATGGGTCATCCATTACAATCACAATGAAAGAGAATAAACAAAGACAAAACAAATCACGTACCTCAAGAACTAACACCCTTACTACAATAAGATTTCTCTAACTGTATGATTACGAAATTAATAGGAAAATTTCAGGAGAATAAATAGACTATTCTGAAAATCAAGAGCTGAGGAAACGGAAGGGATTGAACAGTGTTCTGACAGAGATGAGAAAAACAGAAGAGACAAAGCCCATTGCGGTTAGAAAGCCCCACGATTGTTAGGGGAACTTCTTGTCCGTTGGTACGAGCAGACACTCGATAATGACAACTGTTGTCAAGAGATTTTGTCACCTTACTTTTATAAAAACAAGAAGAAAAGGTTCTCAAAATACACTAGGGTTCGTGTGATCGAGTCACTATTTATGGGGATAGATTTCTACTCCAGTACGATTATTGATGAGTCCGCCTATATTCCCTGTAGGATCGGTGATATTTATTTACCAAATGAAACAGCGGCAAATGAAAAACAGACAAGACATTAAGACTTATGGGTTGTCGGGGTCCCACTACATCGATGTCTGGCTAGAAGACGCAAATAGAAAGCTAATTGATCCTCTACTGTACTCTTTACATTACAACTCGAATAAAATGTGGTATTAAGTGTAGACCCTGGCCACATCTTTCGATGAGGCTATAATTTATGGACGAACCAATCAGATATAAGATAACGAGTTTTGAATTGTGGCGTGAAATTCACACACAAATTTAGCTAAATAGAGTTTTGGCATCATAGCTGATGTCAGTTTGTGATGAAAACCATAAATCTAAATTTTAAGCTTAACCATCAACCGTAAATCATGATTCTAACTGGTTCATAACCCTCATTTAGTCCTAATAAGTAGGTGTCCATTCTCAGGGTCACTTCAGCATCGCTCGAAGGTCGTCCATGAATTATAGTCTCACTCAGATTTCCTTCCAAAAGAGATATTGTTTCTGCAGTCATGTTAAAACCAATTCATGCAAACATACCCAGCAGCACAACTTCACTTTGAGCTCCCGATTAATGTCAAAAATACATATTTTATAACTGTAGAATGTTTGATGAATTGATAAATTTTCTACTATCTAAAGCCAGGTTACCTGAGTTTTAGGGAACTATTATAGATTTAATTGTTGTAAAACATATTGAAAATCAGATGATTTCCACTCAAAATTGTGAGATGAATATACTTCAACAAATTTCTTGCTATATAAAATACCTGTTATAGACTCGAAGAATATCTTAAACTTAAGTGAACATTGAATCACACGGGTTAAATACTTTTATTTTAAATACCTTTTCAACTTATCCTTCATTTGTCTATCAATCAGAAAGATCAACTTCTTTTCTTCTTTCTTTACTGAATAGGAATGTTTGATTAGATTAAGATAAACACCACCAGGTGATCGTCTTCGAGATCCATCCTAACGAAATCGATTGAAAAACAAAGATAGAGTAAGCTATGAAAGAATAAATATAGAGTCTCAAAGTGAAACATTAGTTTTTAGGTCATTATGCAACTGATTATGGAATGTATAGAATTTGGATTTTATTCTTTTGATATGGTCAAGAGTTAAGAGACATGAAACTGGATAAATTATAACATCTTAGTAGCTAAAGCATCCTCTGTATCCTTACTAAGTTATATGACTTGATAGTTAATGGAAAATCTGGGTGAAGATTTTTAGGTAGTATATTACAGTTAAACTATCTTTTGAAGTGCTCCAATCAGCAACCGCGTGGCTTTAAAGATTGCTACATAAGATCCCGTCGACCTTATAAATAATCTGACCTACACGAAACTTTGGGCAAGTGGCTTGGATGAGTTTCAATACCTGAAGGTTACAAAATACACTTTATGGAGCTCTAGAGAAGAGAATTTGCATACATTCCTATATTCCTATTGTCAGAATAAATCGACGAGCGTCAAGAACTTGAAAAGATTCCAAGTGTTAGTTTTTGTCTCAATCACTCTGACGTTCGCACCAGTCAATAAAAAAACAAGAGAAAATATGTCTTAATTCAAAATAAACTGAAGACGATCGTTTCCAGCGATTTGAATGATTGTATTCTCAACTACGTAACGTTTTGTATAATGACACAGCTTTCAGTAGATATACAAATTTGAAAAAAAAGTCTCAAAAATCAGGAAATTTTATAAACTACTATGATGGTTAATGTGGATCGTGCATGACCACAGATGAATTTATTTGTTATTAACTACTAGCTATCAATTAGACTCATATGAATACATGATCTGATTATTTATTTCATTTTATTTAAACACATAAACATAGGTACAAGAATGCACCAAATAGATATGCGCCACAAAAATCATTCGATCTGTGTGAGGGCTAGGATACTGCCCGGGTGCCTGAACCGAAGCAGGTACGGCTGAGAGTGAGGAGAGTCAGCTCTGCCTCCCGAAATGCTTTCACATAGATACGTGGGTACAACCACTGCCAGGGAAGTCCTACTCACTACCTTCTCGTGGCGGGGATGTTGTTTACGAAATTGAGTGGACGAAAAGCGAATGTTCGGCGCTTTAAGCGAGTTGATGGATACAGGAGATCCATCTAGGGGAGTTGGAAAACTCTGATTCCAAACCAGTGGTGTAACTGGGCCACAGGATCCTAAGGAAACAAATGGCGTATGAACCTGTTGTTGGTCGCCAACTACCATGGGACTGTATTTCCCTACATTTCTCCAACGCCTTGTGGATTAGACCTCTAAATCAAAGGCTTCGGGTGCGGCCTCCTAAGAAAACCACCTACTTCGGTTTGAGCACCCAGGCAGTATTCCAACCCTCACAAAATTCGAATTTGTGTGGCACATATCTGTTTGGTGCCTCCTTATACCAATGTTTGTGTTTAAATAAATAAATGGTCTTACTTTCATGGATCTACATATGTTGGTGGTTGGTACTAGTTACAAGTATTTAAGGTGATTAGATAGCAACTAATACGTAACTAAGAGCGGAGTTTGCAAAACAATGATTAATTCAACCTGACTAGATGCTTCTGATGATATAAAATAACTGAACAAATGTAAGACTTTCAGGATTCAATGCGAAATAAGTGGATAGAATTTCATTAACTTTAAAGTAGTTAGGTGTTGGTTATTCATGAGTTATATGGTCAGAAAAATGCTAGATGTTAGAAATATCAGCTAAAAGAACGCTTTGCTGAAGAAAGGTTAACTACGTATATAGGTATTCTGGAAAATTTTACTGCAAACTAACATTTAGTTGAAGACCCGAAATAAAATGAGATGATGACAAGTTGCCTTCCTAGTTCTGTTCCAAAGAGATTTCTTTAACCTTTGTATTGAATTACAAACAAATACTAAATGTAATAATTATCGATTGAAAGCATTAGGTAGTGTTTATTTCGTTTAGCAAGTTTATCACAAATTGTGTAGTGTCAGAAAAAGTAAGAATTACTGATCATTGTTTTTTGTCATTGGACTGAAAGAAAACGTGACATACAACAAATGCTGGATTATTGCTTAATTTTAAAGACATATCTTATGCAAAACGGTCAGAGGTCCTATGCACACAATAGTCAGCTGGAGTTCATCTGCCAACTGAGTCTCAGTAAAGAACCAAAAAATATGTTAGGAATTTATAACAAAACCATAATATATAAGTTTCTTTTTTAAGGACGCGACAAATGTGTAGGTTTTGGAAGAACTATTCAGCTAAACAATCCTCATATCTCAAGTAAACCTGGACAGATTGTTTCATCACGGTCTATTGATAATCTACGTTCACTAAAATTTAAATAGTACGGGGGAGAATAATATCCTACCAAATACCATAATTGAATATACTAATAAAAACAGGATAACTCACATTATATAAACGTAATATAGGTTTACATATGGTGTGACAATTAAAATGTAGTGAGGTGAAGAAACGCGCTATTATGTGGAAACTTACCATTAAGTAGAGACCACCATTGTTCTCGATATCTTCCGTAAGGTAGTAAAATTCGAGAGCTCGCTGAACACCCAAAATATCAACAGTTCGCTCTGTACAATATCAGTTATAGTGTAAATGAAAACATACTTATTAAATCTTCGTTTGGTTCCTTTAGTAGATTAGTGATAGTTTCAGCGACAAGATCGGGTGGACTGTCGAAAGTAACATCAATATGTGATCTAGATACTTCCTGGTCCCATAGAAGTGGTCCAAGCCGTTGCTTGATAGAGAGATCTGATTTTTTTAATATTCTGAAAAATATAAATTTACGTGTGAACTTTCAAACCTAGTAGACAACTCTGGTTGCGTGCATACTTCAATAGTCTTCCGTTCATCATCAGTATCTGTATTAACCAAATAGCTTTCAACACCCCTGCTAGAGTCACATTTCTACAGTAAAAGCTAGATTATGTTGTTTTGATTTACTTCATGAACATGAGCTACTGACAAAGCATCATCCAATTTGTATTCGTTAATAACATTTACCCAAACACAGTTGCGATTTTTTCTATATGGTTTCTTTGGGATATTTACACTGAAATCCTCTTTCATTGGTGAGGCTCGAATATCTGATTTTCTTCGTTTCCAACAAATGTCGTCATTGCTGCTAGATTCATCTTCAGAAGAAGAATGGAGAACTTCTCTGTACGCCATTTCAAAGCTACAGAAACAATACATTATAAGATCCATTTATATAAAATCCAACAACAATAATTATCCTATGGAAAATACATCAAACACTCGTTAATGAGCAGAAAAACACAGGATTCATAAATAATACATTTAAAGTATTGTAGCACTACACTTACATGTGAGGATTTCCTCTTGAAATTAAAAATATGATTGATTATGTTTAACAACAATTTTGATAGCTGATAAGTTATTGAAGAGATTTTTATTGAAGTGGAGATATCGGTGCCATGGAAATTTGCTACCAGGTTGTACTTGTATTGAAATATAAGCAAAATGGAAGATCAGATGTTGAATCCATTTTTTTTGTCGGCCATTACCAAAAGCATCAGTAATTATTTGAAGATATACCACTCACTAGTATTGATAATTTAGGATTCCCTGAACCTTTTACAGTAAGCAAAACGACCAAATAGACTAGAACAAATTTGTTCAAATAACTTAGTAGATCTCGGCGTCTTCAACATTTTATACAATTCTAGATCGTTTAAGTCCATATTACTAGCTTCCTTAACCATCAAACGATGATGGGCCTGAAACATACATCGTGCTTAATTTAGTAGTAGATTCTTAAATAATTGTAGATTTTATACTAAATATCATGGTGGACCGAATCAAACCACAAATGTAGATGAGCAAAATCATACCAACCAACTTAGTCAATGCGGGTTGATAACTCAGATATACGTTTTTAAGTTGCTGTTTAGTCATCTTTGAAAAAAAGATTACAAAATGCCTTCAATCCTACAGGTAGACAGAAGCACAACTATTTCCAACAGTGAGTTAGCTTAGATGAGTTTGCGTTTCAACAGTATAAAGAAATCAGGAAGATCGCAAACCTTTCGAACACATCAAAAAAGGTACGGATGGACAGGTGAAAAACTACAGTCGAGCATAGCGTTGATGGTTTGTGGGGTAATTGTGTCTATGCAGCTTCACCAGTGGTTGATTTTTACTCGTGTACCTGTGGTCATTGAACAAAGATTGGTAACACTTGTTTTGCTTTAAGTGAAGTGCAGCTTTTAGTAGAACTATTCCCGTCTATTTATGTAATGATAAGATCAGACATCAAGCCTATATGTAAGGTGGTGGTTGGAGGTAGTCGATAATCGATATGTACAACGAACTTTACAGTGACCTCCGTGAAGATCACATTGATAATTCTAACATCGACATTGCAAACTCCGTGCTTTCACTGCACATGAGTTGTGTTTTGAAAACAATTACAATTAAATACCTGTATTTTTAGACCCCCATACTGAATTGCTAGACTTCAGTCAAATAGTATGAAAGGCGAACTGCTAAACAGTACAATCGACCCTCGGCATACGGGTGATATTAGTCTTAAGTAGTGATAATCGAGAAATATCGACAGGGCTCTTTATACCTTTCCAAACGTTTTACGGGTAGCAAACCCACTACACACGATGAAACTCTCCAAATGAGGCTGATAAAAGAAACAACCTGGTGAATCGTTTTTCTTTATTAATGTGCTAATAAAAGTCAATATTTCAACAATACAAGTCGGACAGGGGGGAAGTTTATAAGAAAAATATTTTTATGATTTCTCTATATCAATGAAATGCGTATATATGCGTATAATTTATCAAGAATGTTGTTTACAAACTTAAGGCGTATTTTTATGTTCCCGGACATGAGAACTATGTATTTGAAAATTTGGAAAACCATGAGAAACCAATAAGTAAATATTCGACCAAAAAATGGTATATTGACACTCTAGCCCAGCGTAGCCTTTCGCTGGACAGCCTATAGGGTGAGAAATTAGAAGTCAACTAGTGAGAAAATCTAAAGCTGGGATGAGATATATTGGTTAGTTATCATCTTGGACAAACAAACAAACCCTACGGAATATTGGGATTGTTTTACTCACTGTTAAAACCTGAAAATCTACTTTAAAGCTACTTAGTTTGCAACTGACTACTGCTAAAACTGGATTAGGAACCCATCGCTACTCATTCTCGAATTAATAATAGGCTGTGAATGTCTAAACATATCATGAGAAGTTGAAAAAGGGAGAACGATAACATAACCCCCACGATAAGTAAGAAACTACAAACGAAGAGTAATATTGAGCAAAGTAAGGGCTCCTAACCATTGTCTTTGCGCCTGAATAGCGGCTGAGCCACAGATTTCTAAAGCATGTACATGCTAAAACTAAGTCGAGTTTGCGAACAACAGGAATTACTTTCGACCACTAAATTAGCGCTGCTATATTAACAAACTTATGGTCCGTTTACTAGTCTTTATTTATTCTATTTGGTTTTTCGAATTGAACTCAAATGGACACGTGAGTGGTAATTGAAGTAAAGACAAAACACACTACAAAAGACGTATGTCCACTACTCAAATGAGACCTGTACTGGATCAATAGTAAAAATGAAAGACAAACTTCGAAGACTTGGATACGAATAATCTAAGAAGTCAAGAAAGCATCCTTGGATCCTCCCTAGGAATTTGATTTAAATGTTCACATCTTTAAAGCTCTACGTCAAATTTGACTGACAGATTATTTGCTTTTGTATTAGTTTCCGAAACGTCCTGAATGAGCCTCCAAGTCGAAAACAATGAAGCTAAGATAAACATGAACTTATAACGACAAATCAAACGCTGAAGATAAATCACAACTTTAAGAGTGATACATGAGTGTGATTTTGTGTAGTAGTCCGTAACCATAGACCTTCCAGTCGTCTGAAAGAGGATACGAACATCCCCTTAGAACAGGTGCGGAGACGTGCAACAAAATGGGGGTGAGACTATAATTTATGGACGACGTTTTAGCGACGCTGAAGTGACCTTTAGTGAACAACTTCTAATTAGGACTAAATGAGGGTTATAAACCAGTTAGAATTCTCATGTATAGTTGATGGTTAGGGTTTAAAATTAGATTTAGGGTTTTCATCACGAACTGACACGTTATAATGCCCAAACTCTGTTTAGCCAAATGTATGAACGAATTCCGCGCCAAATTCGTGAATCGTTTGCTTATATCTGATTGGTTCGTCCATAAATTATAGTCTCCCCGAAGTCTGAGAGGTGATCTGATCACAGTCCAGATCACCTGGATAAAGTACTTCTTACTGAAGCTTATTATCAAGCCATAAGTTAATACTTTCTGAACCACGTACGCAGTCGTAGGTTATCTTTCGTCTGGAATGGCAGTTGAATACATATGTACACTAGGCACGATATCATTGTGTTCGCTAGTTCTAACTTTACCATACCTCACAATATATTCTGGTCTCTTATGGTTGACATGGCTTATCCCATCACTTTGCTTATTATATTCGTCTAGTTGGTTATATTCAGATATTTTTGTACTTAATCACTTGGCATTATTTATTTTTAACTTCACTAAGACTTTAGTTTTAAATCCAAACAACTAGACGACTACCTGGTGATGTAATAGGTACTATTCCCAGCAGCTTCATCGCTCTAGGACAAATTCAGTGACTTATGCTTAAAATATGTGAGCCGCCGAGGGACTATTCAGTCTACCATGACTAATACATTTGAGTGGCTAGAATCCTCTTACTGAATGCTATAGAACACCTAGATGTCCCAGTTGGGACTGTTCTTTAGTACCACAAGAACCTGAAGAAACCAGTGGTGTTATACCAGTTCGACAAGACTGTATTAGATATTGTTCCAGCTGTAGTGAGAATTCACGTATAAAACTGTAGAATCCCTAAGTTCTATAACGGAGAGCATAGTAAAGCCATACTAATTAACTTACATTCTGTAGCAGCTTGCGTCTATCCAGAAGGTAACTCCGGTTCTACACGAACATGCAGATTAGTATGAGTGAGAAGGGCTGGAAAAGAGAACATAAGAAAAGACTGAACAATGCAAGCCCATACAATGCACTTAAACCACTTAAAGCAAGATACAACAATCATCAATAACACAAACCTAAGGTTAAAACAATCTTGGAATCGGAACCAGAAGCAGATAGTTTATATGTTACATATTCAAACCGCATAATAGAGCTGGTTATTACATTAACATAACTAAAAATTTCATGGTTAACCATAAAATTTTAAAGTTTTCTTGATCACTTTTCCCCCTCCAGGAACAACACACTATTTGTAACTACAAATAAGTACATTGATATTCTCGATTTAGCAAAACAATGACTCATAATCTACTAAGAATTATGGTTACATGAGTCAGTGCCTAGTTAGTAGCGCACCATCCGAAAGTTCATCATCAATACACAATATCTTCTACAACACATCAAATATCTTTAGTGACCTACTTTTATTAACAGAACGCGAATGGTGTAATGGAAACAGTTACTATTATAATCAATTGTACCAGAGATTGTTTTACTGTACTTGATTGTTTAACTGTACTAAAGACATACTTTTTTCTGTTGGTTGTGACCTTGCACGAATTCGGTTGTGCTCAATAAGCACACTTGTAACCTGGCACGATATCTCTATTCTTTCGATACCACGAGACCGCCAACGAATACATCTCGACTACATCCATCAACTGCCTTCTGGTATTTGGCTTACAGTGGATCTTATCGGTTAACTGTCACGTAGTTTTACCGTAGTCGTTATCATAGTCCCTTTCGAGAAGAATTGGTGTGGCATCATTGTTGACCTCAATATGTGGCCATTCGTATGTTTTAAAAGGATTTTGGAACAACTCTGAGGTGATGGCACGAAGTTATCTATGCATAAATTGTGGAGATGCATTTGCATTCTCTTCCATAGGGTTGTGATGTCACAGGTATTCAGTGTTTGACAACGCTTCTACCAGTAACACCTTCTAATATATTTCGTTCCCACCCAGAGAAATCAAAAGACAGAGTCGAGGAGATCGGAAGAGTGTATTTGGCGATTACCAATATATCGGCATTTCACTGATCTAATCTGGCTAGCGATTGCGGTTGATGTTGAGCACGGCGTTACCACACGTGATCTGGTGCGGATGCCTGACCGAGCGCCTTCAGCTAGATGAGTCCACTAAAACATATGGTCAGCATCCAATGTCGAAAACTTATAGGGCTATTTATTTTGGGGATTTATTTACCGCTACAGGGTGAGTATACAGCCAAGTGGTTACCCAGCCGTCAGTGTTGATGCTGATTAACATTTTAAGTACTTTTCCTGGAATAAAGTCAAAGGCGAAAGTATAGTCAGAGATGCGCCCCGAATATACTTCCTACCCTTTTCCAAACTAAACACTATATTACGATCAAGAAAAACAGCAGCATTTAAGGTGCTTCTTTTGCATTTACAAGCAAACTGGTACTGATTAATGTTTTAGCACACGTCTTAAAAATAACGTTTGAGATCTCATCAGGTCCTAAGCATTGGAATGAGTTAGATGATTAAAGACATTTTCGGACATTAGGTCCAGTGAAAATTGGGACACATTTATTCGGCAAAACTATGGATATGGGAGGTATGACATTATATGACTGATGTGCAGAAGAATTATTTGCGTCACGCCATTGTTTCTGACGTAATTACTACCAGTAAGTTCATTATATAGTTTTCACATACCAGTATAGTGTGCTTAAGATAGAAGCCTCTGAGTGAACGTTAAGTTTTGAAACCTGTAGTGATAAATAACTCCACGAAATCAATAGCTTTGTGAGTCTTCGACATATGATACTGACCACATTAGTTTTAATGGGCTCACCTAGCTAAAGGCGCTCGGTCAAGCATCCGCACCAGGTCACGAGAGGAAACGCCCTGCTCAACTTCTCCTTGTAGCTCAGTTGAGTGCTCTCCTCAATGTGTGGCCTATCCACTTCCAGAGCTTCCTTCTGATTTCTTCCTCCACTGGCATCTGGGTTGTTCTCTCTCACAGTAGGTTGTCGCTGATAGTGTCTGGCCAACGGATCTGAGGTATTTTGCGTAGACAACTGTTAGTACACACTTGTATCTTCTGGATGATGGCTTTCGTAGTTCTCCGGGTTTCCGCCCCATACAGTAGAACTGTTTTGACATTTGTGTTGAAAATTCTGACCTTGGTGTTGGTTGACATTTGTTTTGAGTTGTAGATGTTCTTCAGTTGTAAATATGCTGTTCTTGATTTTCCGATCCGTGCCTCCATATCTGCATCATATCCAGCGTGTTCGTCAATGATGAAATCCAGATATATAAAGGTCGTTAAATCATCCCAGACTTCTCCGCCAAGTGCGACTTAGTTGGTGCATGCTGTGTTGTATCGGAAAATCTTGCTTTTCCCTTTGTGTATGTTGAGACCTACTGCTGCTGAGGCTGCTGCCACACTAGTACTTTTTTCCTGCATTTGTTTTTGTGTGTGCGACAGAAGAGCTGGATCATCTCGGTTGCGTTTGTTGTATCTCAGGATACTTGTCGAGAAGTGGCTGATAGAGTGGGTGTTACGTCCAAGTTTTGCTCGTTCCAGTTATTGAAGTACGGACTATCGATCTACTCGCAAATTACGAACCCAAATTAACAACAGAACCAAGTCTCCAATTTAGATACCAAATTTATTCGTAATTCACAAGTAATCGACCAAATGTCGTTCTAATAACAATAATTATAACAATTACAAAACAAACCTTCAATTTTGTAGGTTCCCGGAGCAAAACTCCCAAATACCAAACCAAAGACAAAAGGAGCACCAAAATACCAAACCAAAATGTCCGAAATAATGATATAAACAAACAAGTTCAAAAGTTAAGTAAAACAATTACATCCAAAAGCACAGTAAATTATTAATGTACAATAAAAGGTTTTAATCCGTCAAAAGTCTTCAGTTCTCCCGTAACACTCCCGACCAAAAGAACCTTGGTTCTTTTCACAAACAAGTAAATAGGTAGCAGGAATCCAAGTATATACATCACAAGCAATCAACAACAAGCATTCAATATACCAACAATCTCGTGATCCCTAGGACTTACACCAGTACGCCTAGGGACCCGAGTAGCTACCTACCATCTACAGATTCAAGAAGACACAGTTTTCGAATATCTCTCAATAGAAGACCCTTTTTTGTCCTCAGTTCTACCTGTCTCATTAATCTATCCTTACTTGATATCACTCTTTGTACTAGACCTAAGGGCAACTTGTTTATACGCTGCGACAGAGAAACATACTCTTTGGACCAACGCCTCCAAAATACTTGTGCCAAGTAATTCGCTTGCTTCCATCTCTTAGAATACCTGTCACCACATAGAGTGTTGTCACGTAAATTCAATAGAGACATCAGATCCTTCGTAAATACAGATGAAGTGTCTACCACCTTTCCATAGGATTCATTACGAGACCCATCAACACTAACATTGTATTGCCGTCTATTAAGTGAATCTTCCAAACACATTTCTTCATTTAGTTCCCCTGTTACATAGACCTTTGATTCAAGTGAACCATGTTTACCAATATGTTCTCCCTCCTCGAACTCATGACTATATAGTCCTTCTAGATCCGGTGAAACACCATGCGAATGACAACGCTGTACTGTATTTACGGACCTATAAGACTCCCTGGGACCTAAAACCATCCAACCGAGGGGCGTACGCATACCAAATGGATGTTCCCGGTCTCCCAGACGTTGTTCCAGAACCCAATGTGCGTTTGGAGTGTCACACCCAATCAACACTCCCACTAGATTACTTTGCAACGTCGGAAGGGCTATGTCTTTCAAATGCTCCCACGAACCCAGCTGTTCCTCGGTTAAAGGTTCAACATAATCGATCGGAAGCTTCTTGGTCGTATAAGCCTTGTTGATCTTCACGTAACCCCGTTCATCTAATGAAAATATCTCTAAATTTACTTCCTGACATTCACAAGTAGTGGTTCCATTCACGGTAGTCACCTTTATCGAAGTCTCCTTACCCTTGAGACCCAAATGATTAATTATCTCTTCACATACAAGAGAAGTATCCGATCCACTATCAAGAAGGGCGTAAGTTTCTAAAGTTCCATTTGGACCATACAGCCTGACCGGAATAAAACCCAAACAAACCTTCGACGAGTTCCAGTCCTTTACTAAGTTCACTACACGGTTATTAATACTATCAATATGTAGCAATGAATTATGCAGAGCCTTGCAATTACCAACGTCACACTTGATATCCGAGTCGCATGACTTCGCTATGTGACCCTTCCTTAAACACAGGTAACATAGACCACGTCTTCTCACTTCGTGTCTTCTTTCGGTAACATTCATTTTCAATAACTTCGTACAATCTGTCTCTTTGTGATCAGCAAAGCAGATTCCGCAACTGAGAGCGGTGAATGAGTTGCTTGGTTCCAGCTTAACTACATTAAAACGCGATCTTTTATCAACTTTGCCTTCATAATTACCTTTACTGAACTTTGAGTTACAATGTGCCAATCTACCGAAACGTGTTCGAGAAATCCTGGCTCTTTCTTCTACAAAGATCACAAATTCTTCATAGATCGGCTCCCTTCCGGTCATCATGATCTTATCGGCAACTTCCACCCACTTATTCTGTAATTCTAGTGGTAAACACGACACAATTCTTTCCAAATTAGCGGGAGAATTCATATCAGACATATACCCCATTTCCTTCAATGTTATGCATACATTACGTAGCTTAATTGCAAAGTCAGTTAAGCCATCGGCTGATCCTTCAACAGATTTGTGGTTAAATAACTCAGTAATCATGTCGCGAGCAACAAGGTGTTCCTTACCAAACAGGTCATACAAAATCTGTTTAGCTCTATCATAACCCAAATGAATGGGCAATGAAATACAGGCTTCAATAGCTGTCCTAGCCTTTCCCTTACAATAGTATAAC